TAAAGGGTGTTCTTCGAAAATAACAGGATTATAGGTAGACACGGAGTAATAAATCATAATTTTATGGGAGTTTTACAGCACAGGCGGCTCAAACAAAATCTGTGAGATTAAACCACTGATCTGTATTATTTTACTGGATAGGATATAGGCTATATTTAACATACTAAAAAACCGTTCCACCAAGGAGACCGGAAGTGCAACAATGCTGGCCGATTTGGGCAAATTAAGGTGGGTTTACAGAACTGAAATTTGGGATAATTTGACATACCTACCTATAATTTGATTAGTTTTTCTTATTCTTCTTCTATTCCTTTTGCGGGCGATGTCCTTTGGGAAAATTCACCCATGATTTGATTTTTTATGAAAGAAAATATAAAAATGGAAACGTGTAGCATATTGTGTCTTCAGGAATGAACGTTTATTGTTTAATTCATACTCTTTTTACTTTGTTTTTCACAATTAAAACATCTCATCGTAGCTTGTTGACACAATTAAATGACAAATGTGATGACAAATGGAAATAAAGGTTACGTTAAATAACATCCGGTCCTCCGAGCAATTACTAATAGAGGGAGCGTGAGAACGAGTTTGTAGGCGATTGTTGTGTTAGCAACATCTGTAGAGGAAGTGAGGAAGCGGGCACAAGGGGGAAGGTAAACATCCTTCTTGTTCAGTGGCGTATCATTTACCTATAAAAACACACATTGTCCAAACGTTTTAATTTAAAAAAAACTAAAAAATTTGCTAATTTTACTATTTTTAAAATTAATACCGTCTTATATGTGTCTAATGCAGGAAATGAAACAAAATCACTGTAAAGGTCTAATTTTTTCAATTGAAGAATAAAACCTTAAAATCAATTTTATTATAAATACAGGAGCGACTAGTTTCGGCCTTACAGAAACATCTTCAGGCCTGTAATACAATAATCTTTAATTATTATAATAGGTTGGTCACTTACGAATAACACTAAATAGTATAAACCACAAAAATGGATCCATATTGTAGCGTTACAGCATTATAGAATTAAAGCTGTGAAAATAAAAGAGCAGTGCAAACGTAACTAAAAATAAGAAAACTGAGTACGGAATCTACAAGAGAAGAGGTGAGAATAAGCAATTACGAATGCATTTAAATTGTTCGGGATAAAAAATAAAGCTGATAATGTAGTGGTATAGTCCCCGTCAAACAAGGTCTGGATATGTTAAAGAGAACGGCGTTTTCTCTGTAAATCTGGAGAATGTAAGGATGGAGGGAAGACGAATCTTGCTGGCTCAGGTGTAGATGGCTAGAAAAAGGGGCGTGTAGATGAAAGCTCCAGTAATTATCGTCACTTTCGTCTAATTTTTTATTCTTACTCACCGTTTCGGCTTTATCTTCGAAATTCATTTTTAAAAGAAAATAAAAGTAATCATTCATACAAGCATATAATAAAACAACATGAATTCATTATATTTAATAAGCTAATAAACGTTTGTTTCAATGAAAAAAAAAATAATATGCTTTAATATCAAAATCAATTTGAAAATACAACAGATAATAAAATGAAATAAATTAATACAAGTACAAATAGAAAGTTAATAACATACCTTCTAAAAGTAACACATTTTAAGTAGATAAATGTTTAATCTAATCTAAGTTTTTCCCCTTTTTAATATTATGAGGGTTTTTGTAGTTGAAATGAAAATTATAATTTATTTTGGTCCTAATAAAAATTTAAACATAGGTTATCAAAGAGTAAAATACATAATAGAGCTTCATAATCTTAAATCGTTATCAAAAATTATTAATGGTAAAACTTCAAACAATAATTAGATTCTTAAACAAATTTTTAGTTTTTGTTTTGCAAAAGACTTTTTTGCCTTCTTCGGTTGCCTCTGCCACTTTTCTTTTAGTATTTTCGAGGAGAATTTTCCTATGGAAACCAGCAG